AACATGATTATTCCAGGTTACGTGTCTAGCGTTGAGATCACCGGCTAACAGAACTTTCTGGGATTGGGAGAAGACGGTGTCCATATCTTGAAGCGTGATCATATTGTGGGGGGAATTGTAGGCCAAACAAATGCTCATGCCGTCAATGAATCTGAAATTAAAATTTTCGAAGCTTAAATTAAGATGCGTCATTACGTGGGGTATGTTGGTTTTTATTAAAATCGCCATGCCCCGCGTATTATTATTTCTGTTTCGGTCTCGTCTATATACAGTGTAGTTTTTAATTTTGAGTCGGTCCTCAGGCGAGAGAAGCGTCTCTGAAATGGCCATAATATCGATTTGCTCGGCGTGCAGGGACTGAATTAGTTCCCCCACTCGCCTTTTAAGGCTGTTTGAATTCCAAGTCGCTATTTTTAAATTGAACCTGCTTTCACCTAGATGTCGAACTCGTCAACGTTATTTTGAATAAAGTCTGCCAGTAACATAGCTCGTTCAATTTTATTAGTAACACCTTCGACGGTTCTATAAAGTGCTTTTAAAAAACGGTTTAACTCCCTGAAATTGATTGCACCCTCCCCGCTTAACAGGTTGAGCGTTTCTTGAAATTCCGAAATGCCATTGTAGTTGTTGGAGGGGCCTGCTCGTTTCGATTGATCCGCCGCCGGTGCGTGCTGCTGTGGATGACTAACATGGACGGGTGGTTTGGACGACTGTTGTGATCTGCTTTGTTGAGGGTCTCTGGCGTTGGTTAGTTCCCAGGCATTTTGCTTGGGGATCGGTGCTTCTTTGAATTCAGCTCCATTTGTTGGATACCACTTCTTTCTTCTGGATTTCTTGGAGTTTCTTTTGGTAAATGAGACATTCGGTATTGCATGCCGTGTGGCTTCCTCCGCAGTTAGCACGGGTAGCGGGGGTGTCGGGTGTTTTTGTGCATTCCTTTGTGTGGTGTCCCTGCGCGCACTTTACACATTTGGGCGGCCTATAACAGTTGGATGTCGCGTGTCCCCAAGCCTGACATCGGCGGCACTGGATGATCCGTCTTTCGTTCTTTCTTCGCTCCCAGGATACTTTTGTGTGCGAAATATACTTAACTTTATTTTCAAGTTCCTTTAGAGTAATGCTGGATGGACAAATGACGAGATAAAGTTGGGCCTTGCTGCGTGCTAGGTCCTTGCGCATTTTATATATATTTTTCACCTCAATTTCATATTCGTCCATAAGTTCTTCTTTGATTATATCGATATTTAAATCTAGCAGTCCCCTAAGAATAAACCCATGGGTTTTTTGGGTAGCCGCCGTATAAGTGTGGAAGGATAAGAATTCTTCTTTTTTGCGAATACTCGCTTCCTGATCATTTATTAAGACGTCCTTAAAGCGAAAGTATTCATCGTAGTCTTTGATGTAAATTAGTGTGGATTGATAAGCATATTTTAAACTAAATCCTTTCTTGACGTGTCTGCTGATATCTTTTACTAATCTATTATGGTCGGTGATAACTGACTGGATCACTATTGGCGGTGGATTTTTTGTCCTCTTTTGGGCGGGTCGTCCTCTTCTTTCTGTTGTTGTTTTTGCCTTTTTTGCGGTACGTGCGACATTAGTTTCGGTGTCGGTCTCTTCTTCACGATCTGATTGGTTGTTGCCGTTTCCTTCCACTTCCATATCGCCAGGTGCGGCCTCAAGCGGCTGGTATGTATTTTTTGTTGATGTGGGCGGCGCTCAACGAGCTAACTTTGCAATGTTTGTTTTGCGGACCTACCTTTTCGGACTTATGTACTCCGGATCAGTTTCAATTGAGGAGCCTGCTTGCGGAGAGTTTAGCGGGGGCTCTGGGGTCGCGCTCGGAGTTCTCGACTTGGGAGTATTTGACATTGTATCTTGGGTTACCGTTGCTTGCGCATGCGCAGTTCGATATTCGTCGGGCTTGTCGTCAAGCGGACTAGCTGAATTGTTCTCGCTGACGATCTTGTTTTTGTTTTTGTTTTTTAAGCACGATGTACTTACTTTTTGTGACTTTTGTTTTATCAGTCGCCACCTGTTCGTTAGATGGTGGTAGTGTGCAACGTCCGTTTTCCTTGTTGTATCTTTGTGGATTCTCAATATGTCTTCTATGTTTTCACTAACTTTCCCTTTACTTTTGTTTCTTACTAGTTTTTGCGAGAGTTCTAGGCATTCGGGGCATTTGCGATGTTTCGAGGTTTCAGTTTTTGTCACAACACTGTTGCTCTCGTACGCGGATTTAAAGTCCACACTGCTATTTACACTATGTACACTATTTGGGGATAGCACACACTCCGATGGTCTAAAAAAGGCCGCGACGGCACTGGGGGAGCGTTTAGAGCCAGCCCTAATCGGATTTTTGTCAGGCTTAATCGCTTTATCTGAGCACATACACGCACAATCGCATTTATACGTCCGTACGCTAACGCTGCTCAGACAGAACTCCGGACGGGATCTGGTGTATCAGCGTGGTATGGCCGTTGCATGTAAATTTTGCTTTCTTTAAAGGATATATCCTAGAACTGGCGGTAAAAATGATAAAAATATACAACGGCACGCGGTGTTCCCAAGCGGTCACCCATCCAAGTACTAACCGCGCCCGACGCTGCTTAACTTCAGAGATCGGACGGGATCTGGTGTATCAGCGTGGTATGGCCGTTGCATGTAAATTTTGCTTTCTTTAAAGGATATATCCTAGAACTGGCGGTAAAAATGATAAAAAATACAACGGCACGCGGTGTTCCCAAGCGGTCACCCATCCAAGTACTAACCGCGCCCGACGCTGCTTAACTTCAGAGATCGGACGGGATCTGGTGTATCAGCGTGGTATGGCCGTTGCATGGAAATTTTACTTTCTTTAAAGAATATATCGTAGAATTGGCGGTAAAAATTATAAAAAAAATACAACAGCATGCGATGATCCCAAGCGGTCACTCATCCAAGTATGGCCGTTGAATGTATATTTCACATTTTAAAGGCAAAATTCATGTCATTCATATCAGAACAGAGAGGATTTTAAGCACTTTTTACCCAGCACTGTATATTTTACATTTGTATAATTTAACTCCAAGTCAATATCCCAAACCGTGGCCGGTTTCCGTAAACAAACCAGAACCAAAAATCAGCTTGCGACATCTATAATTCACATCAATAACACTTCGCCAATTCATGACTCAATAGAAAGCTTAATCCATTGTGTCACCGGTTTCGACATCTGTCGTCAGATGGCGCACACGATAAACTTAACGATCATGGACTTATTATAACCGCGTAGCCACTTGGAATTTGCATAACCGGGGAATTTGCGAAATTATTTTTCCACACAATTAGCTGTTTTCCTACGTAGTTTACTCGAAATAGAAACTCATTCTGTACTATTTTTAAAGTAATCGCTATAAATATAAAGGGTCATTGTCAGCTTTATAGGATGTGGCCCATCATCGTTTGACATATTTTGGCAAAAACATCCTATAATACAAACAATTATTAATTAAACCAAGATACATCTAAGAAAATAGATATAATGTTAACAGCCAGTAATCTATTTTATTTAACGTTAAATGAGTGATCAGAATAAAATTTATACTCAACAACAAATAATAAAATTTGTTGCTTTTTACAAAACTTCTGGATTCCTCCTGCGTCGATTTTTGCTTAGTCGAAATTGCTGACATTTCGCCAATCATCCTGTTGGCTTCTTCAGAGCTTGACAGTTTCAGTCAAGCTAACATTTTTTGAAGCACGGAATTTCTGGAGGGGAATTTCATTGTGGTAATTTAGTTGTAGGCGTGGTGATCATTGCGGTCACAATTTGTGCAATCTCATTTTTCAAGTCAGACAAGTTTTTTTATTCAAAGAAACTTCCACAGGCTACTGTAATACGTTTTACAAAACTTCTGTATTCCTCCCGCGGCGGTGTTTGCTTACTCGAAATTGCTGACGTTCCGCCAATCATCCTGTTGGCTTCTTCAGAGCTGGACTGAAACTACAGTTTTTTTAAGCCGAAACTACAGTTTCAGTCAAGCTCTGAAGAAGCCAACAGGATGACTGGCGAAGCGTCAGCAATTTCGACTCAGCAAGAACCGACGCAAGAGGAATCCAGAAGTTTTGTTAAAAGCAGATATGTTTAAGTGGGAAAAAAAGTGATCCCTTAATTAGACGAACGATATTCACTTAAATAGGTTTGTCTAATTATTACCAATTTTGCGACTTACTGATGTGTTCTACCGAGTGCAGCCGGACTGTCCTATTTATTTTATTTTTTATTTGTTTTTGTTGTTTGTGAAATTTCGTGAAAATCTGAACTTTTAGTTTTTATTTTTTTGGATATTAGATTCTATTATTATGTTAATTTGTTGCCAAATTTGACCAAAGAATTATTTATCGAGAATATCTTCCAGAATTTATATTTATCTATATTTCAACTAGAGTTATTTTTAATGAGTTTGAACTTTGATACTGGTTCTTCTCGTGTTAACGTTATTTTTGTTAGTGTACTCGTAATATAGGTATACATAAAATTCATAAAATTTTCGTTACTTACCTGTTATTTATTTAATAGAAGCAAGATCATTACAATCATAACGGCAGTGGTGATTAATAGAAATTCGTGGTAATTTAAGTGGTATTTAGTGGTAATTATTAAGTTAATTTCTTATAAAAGGGACACGCAGATCCACTACTGAAATCCCCACGAATATCCTACAGAATTTGCAATTTTTATATTATCTTTAATATATTTGGATTCACGAAGCGCGTCTTTCTATAATGTAAAAAAGTTAGTAGAAAACATGACAAAATAACAACAATAATAATGAACGCATTCATCAAAAGTCAACAATACGAAACTCGTGCCGATTCAAGTCTCGCGAAGTAAATCTAATTAAATACAGGGAGACAACAATAAAAGTGCAAACAAGGCAAAGCCACGCCGATGTATATTTTTACACGTTGATAAGATTAGGGCGATAACGTGGTGGTATAATGAAAGAAGAGTTCGCGGCAAGGTCGATTCCGAACTAGATGGAATTGAATACGCGCCCGTGTAGTTAGCGCAGTGTCCGAGTTGATTTGACTGAGTAAATCGTACTTAACCTGGTGGCGATCGCGGTTTAGTCGTGAAAAAAATCCAGCGCGTAAATTATTAGTGTGAGGACGATGTGGTTTTGAAAAATGACCGCCAAAATATCGATCGACGCAGCTTTAACGTCGCTTTTTCGATAGTTTTATTTTATTCGGGTAAGATCTAATTGGTAATTGCTATTTTTGTTTACGGGATCCCGTTGTCACCTAAAACTAATTCCTCCATCGTTAATCACAATTTGATATATTGAGCTTATCAAAATTGTCTCTTAGAGGCGACACGTTAATACTAATTTAGATAGTTCTTAAAAATAAATCGTACAGTATATAAAATATCTTATCGAAAGCAATACTAAAAATTATTTCAAATAAAGCGAACTTTTTTAATTTTTGTCAATTGTTGACTTGTGTTGGAACAAAACAAAGTCTGTTCATTTTTAAATATTAACGGCAAACGCCCAAACTTGCCAAAACCGATCGCCGCTCCACCTACATCGTAAACTAGAACTGCCGTCCACAGGTGTCAAAAAGCAACATTTTCTACACCTAAAATGTATTCCTATAACGTTATTAAACTCGTTACTTTCGAATTTTTAAATCTATTTTGTTAGAAAATAACTGCCCACCTCACCAAACACCTGGTACAAACATTGGTACAAAATTTGAAAAAAATTTCAAAACTTTTTCGGTTATTTTGAGTTAAAATAAAAATATCCGCTCGGAATACCATTTACTCGAGAGGAAATATTATTGGAACAGAAAACTCGGGACCTCTACGGTTATAATTTTTACTTCTCGAATTTTTTCGAGAATCTATGGGATTATGAATAAAAAGCAAGTCCCCAAAATTGGCCATTATTCGGGGGTAATTTATATGCGATAACCAAAACACCGTAAAGAATATTGCAATGTGGTTTGAACACCTTTAGGTGGCAATTCTTGTAGTTCAAATTTTTGTCTGTTGCATAGGGTGAGCGATATATACGGATAAAAAATGCCGCAAGACTTAAGATCAAATGTAACCAAAATACTGTTAAAGATAGTACAATTTCGTCTATCGTACAGGATGCGCAAGATATTTGAAAAAAATCTAGAACACAATTTATGGTTAAAAATTGAACTGAGGTGGCTTTTACTTGATGAAAATCCATTTATCAAAATAAATATGAACTAAATTATATATTTATACAATTGTCATGTCAAAATATATAATTTCGTGAAAATCTGAACTTTTAGTTCTTATTTATTTCGATTTTATTTTTAAAACCTTTATATTTTCCAAAGTTTAAATTGACTTTGGAGTTGGATCGAGTGCTTATTTGAATTGCACTTTGTATAGGGTGTGTGCACAAAACAATTACATTCATTTTTAAAAACATATACAGTGATTCGCTGGACGATAATAAAAACAAGCTACAAGTTGGTTCCCCAATGCAATAGTAGAATTGATTAGAAAAATTTTGTTTTTCATCGGAGGTCTTAATTTTAAAATGAAGTTCACTCAAATAACTCATCTACATTATCAAAAAATGTTCTGGTTTACTTATAAAATCAAAAATAGCAACACACCTAAATATTTTTAAAACAAACAAATAAAATAAATTACGTTAGAACACATTCAGTACGTCAGTCAAGATTTTAAATATTTTATATATGTATTTTATATTATATTGTCTTTGCCCAGAATGGGAAGGTGATTTTCTATCGCACAGTTATTAAATTTCTTAAAGTTATTTTTGTTGCTTGTCGAGTAGGAATGATTAAATGTTTGAAAGTTTTCTTTATTTTTTTGTATAGAAATTAATGGTAAAAGTAAATAAATTCCTATTTGTACCTTATCTCAGTTACAACAATCTATCATAACTCATATCATAAATAATAAAAATAGCACCGTTCGATATTTGTTTATCGGTTGAGTTCACGTACGTTTGAAGAAATCGCTCAAACTTCGACCTTGTCAAAAATGTCCATCGAGAACTGATTTAATAAATAATAACAATAATAATAAAATCCAAAATAGAAAGTTTAACTTACTTTTTTTTACAAAAGTTCTGTATTCCTTCTGCGCCTGCTGAAACTGTTTCACGGAATCTCACAGAAGCTAACAGGATGATTGGTGAAACGTTAGCAAGTTCGACTCCACAAAAACCGTAGCAGGAAGAATCCAGAAGTTTTGTAAAAAGTATTACAGTAGCCTCTGGAAGTTTCTTTGGAAAAAAAATGAAGTTCAGCTTAAAGGCCAAAACTTTTAAATTGAAAAGCAACTTGCATATAGACTTTCGCAAAAACATATTGCGTCTGATATAACTGTTATAACGTGTTACCGCTGAAATATCAATATATCAACGTTGATAATAATTCCTCGCGTATGCAAATTGATAAAATGCATTATTGAAATAGATTTCATTTAGTTTTCAATTTCAATGCCAACGTTTGACTTCAAAAACCTGCTACGTTAACAAAGTTTGTTGTTTAAATATTTTAATCTACGCAATGCAAAAATCGAATCCGCATAATTATATCAATATATTTCGCGTGCTGTATTTAAATGTGCATTATGCGCGCTTTGATCTAGGTAGGCACAAAAAACTACTCACCAAAACTATGCTTTTAGTTAAATGGAGACAAATATTTTGTACGGTCGGGCACAGTGTGTGCACTTTTACCTGTATGCACTAAAATATTATTTTTGAAGATAATCGATCTTGTTTTAGTTTGGGAATTAATCAAAAACTAATTCTTGTTACGCTTAATGCGATTTTTTGTAGACCCGAGTTTTAACCCAAAAATGATTGTCATGAAATAAAAATCAATCAAATAAAATAAATCAAAAAAATTTCTTTATAAATAAAACAGTTGTTCGTTTGTAAACATGCAGAAATTTATATTTATTTATTCATTTTGATCTCTTTTGTAATGAATTTAAAAAATTATGTAAAACGTGAAATAAAAAAAAAACATACGCTATTGACAAACATGTCATCCAGATAAATATATGAAATCAATAGTATCAAATGTAATAACAGAATTAGAAAAAAAATTGAACAGAGGTAGAAAATTATGTATGTAATAAAAACTCTTTAAGCTTATTTTTAAATACGGATTCATCATCCGGCATACCCAAATGGAAATTGTTTTTATTTCTTAAATAATAATTTTGCATAATATGTTTCGTTGTGAGCCACAATTTTCTTCTAAATATATTAGGATATATTACACATTAATTCTATTTTATTAATATAAATAATCCCATATAAGTAGCCATCAAAAAACTTCTGATTGCCTTTCTATCTATCACGTTCTTTTTACTTCGATTGTGCTCTAGTCCGTTACATATGCAGATTCAGCCGAATTCAATGATGATTTTAAGTCAATGGTAGTTAAATTACATCTCAAAAATACTGAAATAATATATATATGTATATAATAACAATATATACAACATTAAATAAATAATAATATTTAATGGTTTTTGAAATTATCAATTAATTTTCTATGTCTGGTTTGCTTTAGAAAAAATATTTGTCTGTCTGAGTTTACGCCTATTCAAAAAACGCAGACAAAAGCATATTGTAACCGCATATAAGTAAGTATTTTGGTATCCAGACAAAGCTTGACCTTCGGTTCTAACGGTAGGAAAAAAGCTAGTACAATACTGTTCCAAATAATGAAGTATCACCAAAACAACATTGTACGCCGATATAAATAAACACAAGGATGCTTTTGCAGCGGATTTTTCACTTGCAAATTTTGACAAATATGTTTCGAAACGATTTTGTGGGTACCAGAAAGACGAATTTAAAGCGAAGTCGCGTTTTTGTTTGACAAACACACTGTTTAATTCGAAAATTTTACAACGTTGCGCACTGTATGTTTTGCTTTTAATTTGCCCGCGTACACACTGTCTCGCGTTTATTTGCCCGTTAACTAACCAATTTACGACATATTTTATAATAAACAGAAAAATATTCACTACGCATGGTTTCGACTTCATTTGCGTACTACCTGTTTTAGATTTATTAAGATGTTTTTCCGTTTCAATGCTACTGCCATGAACTACTCGTTAGCACCGAAAGACGTTTTTATTTACCTAGTTTATTCTAATTCCAAATACGTTTAGGCCACGCATTAATATGCAAAAGTCCAGGTTTCACGAAACTTGATTGATATAGTGTATAAAGCGATCTCTTCACTCAAGCAAGTGAATTTCTTGTCATTGGTTATCATTTTCTTTGCGGAATCATATTGCCGTATAATTAGCGAACCTGGAACTGAAAAATCTGCCAGTGTTTATTATAAGTTAATTAGCCTAGTGGAATCGGTCTTGGGTAATGTTTAGAGCACTGCATTTTACTTTTCATAACTTCCACAATTACTTCTTTTTTATTTACATCATTTTTTGTCGTTTATTTTTTAATTAAGTACTCAACAACCTTAAACAACAAATTCGTATTATCGTTTCTGTCTATGAAACCTAAACCAATGATATGCAGTACTCAGGAAGAACGACGAATAAAATGATCGAATTTAGTTTTCTTTTTTCAAATTTTTGCTACTTATATTTTCTCCATAATCCACTCCCAAAATTTTTAGAGAAGTAGCATTTTTTGTTGCTTAAACGTTTGTTCTAATAAACGGTAGATATAAATATTTAATCTTTTCATTGCTTTTCATTTTTCTAGGTAAATATTTTCGAAAACCTTGGCGATTTTTTGCGATTTTCAAAACTGAACGGAATATTTTTGAATTGATTTAAATAACTCATTTAAGCAAATAAATACTAAGCGGATATAAATAAAGTATCTGTTTTCGTCTCCGTTTTCATTTAATGTGCAAAAATATTTGAGTAAATAAAACCACATGCACAAATATAACGATCCGACCTATAGATAGATTAAATATATTATCGAGGTTTTGTCGATCGTATTAACGCGTACCTGTTAGTTCTCAGTACCAACTACCCCACCCCGGCATAAAAAGTCCACGGCAGTTACTGACCAAAAATATGAATTTATTTTAGTGGGTAAACAAAACAAAAAACTTAAATTTTAGTTTCTCCAAATGCAATGTTTGAATGAATTGCCATGCCAAAGATAAAATATACCGAAAACATCCGATCGATCCTAAACGGGTGAAGTACCGGAAACCCTCGAAGTGGCTCGCTACTGTGGGTAACGAAGCTGACATCTTAAAGTAATACTTTCCGTATACTTGCTTAGAGCATAATTAGGTATTTTAGAGTGGGGAGTAGAAAAATGATATTTTCAGCCTAGTAATACTTGTTAACTTGTCTACAATTACCAATTTTCTTGGTGATGGTAAAATTAATTTGTTTCGAAAATTTTGCAGAAATACAGTATCATAAAGAAAGAAATAATTAGAGTGGTATGTTTTCTACTCCCCATTCTTGGATCTGTTATGGCATAATAATTGCGGTAGCACTTTTAACATAAAAATTCGAAATGTATTAACACAATCAGAAATTTTAAGACCATGTCAGTGAGGCTAGAACCATAATCACTTGACGAATATTTTGGTTGATTTATTTTTGTAAAACCGAATTGAAATAAAAAAGTTTTATTATATTTATTATTAATTTAAAATACACAACTATCACCTGGAACGTTTCCGGTACTTTACTCACGGGTTGGGAGCGGTCGGATGTTTTCATCCACCTGTAGTAGAAAAGGTATTATATAACAGTTTTATAACCTCCTTCTAATTCCATTTTTGAACCTTATTTTAACCAAATTGACAATCAGAAACAATAGAAACACATGAAACGTTTAGCAAATATTACAGAAGAAGAAATTAATGAAAAATTTAAAAAAAAATGTTTTCATCTGTTACTAAATAAAATACCAAGTAAAAAAAATTCAAAAATATCCCGATATTATAGTTAAACCATTGCAGTCTAGTAAAAGGGTGCTTTGGAAATATTTTCATATAATTTCATAAAATTTACATAGCAAAATGCTTACAGCGACTTTTTAGAAATGCTCAGTTTCGAAAAACATACCTCTAAAACAGACACAGATATCCATCTAAGATTGTTGCCATTATACTTTTTATCCAAAATTACTTTTTTTGAGATTTTCAAGTCGACTCAAGACCCAGACGTGCTTAAAGATTCCGCCATTATCTTCGAATCAACCCACGCCTCGAAATATTTTTAATCATAATATTTTCTTCCACACGTCTACCGCTTTTAACGGGCGTTTGTTATTCCAGAGGCGAGAAAAACTTTGGAAATGGCAAACTCGGAGGTCCACACGACCATACATAAATTCGAGACGAAGAAAAGCTCCGCCATCAGTATCAGACGTTATCCTGAGTCGGTGGAAAAGATTTCGGCCATGCTGGCACGCGCACACAGGGGCTCCTTCCAGGAACCCCACCACCACCACTACCCACCTGTTGACGTGCCGTTAAAAGTGTCGAAAAGTTCTCAACACACGTGCGGCAGTTTGTACGCGAATTGCGGTTGCCGTGATGATCCCGACAGACAATCACTCGTTCACACTTATTCGAATGATACGCACTGTGCAACCAAAAGAGCTTCCATACCGAATCCAATCGGAAATTATCCCAAAATCGACGAGAAACGGTTGTCCAGTCCCGAGTTGGACCTTTCGCGGGTTGCCAAACATCCGAATGTGTGCTTGAAACTGAAATCTCCTTCCACTCCTTCTTCCACGATCGTCAAGGCGAACGTATTCCTTCACCATCCGGAGATTAGTTTTCCCATTCCGTTAGAGGTGCCTCGCGAGGACTACGATAATAAGTCCTTTCCTGCTCATTTGCACCCGGAAATAAAAAGCAAGCCGGAGCCTCAAACACCACCAGTCAAAGCGACGCACAAAGACGAAGAGGCGGAAAAGTTTCTTAAGGAGTTCGGAATATTCGGACCGATGGGTAACGGAATACCGACGACTTTTCGAAGGAATTCGCGGAGTTCGATCGAAGACAACACGATAAATCAGATTCGCAGAAACTCCAAGACGTTGGAGTTGAGAGCGCGGAAATTTTCCGAGTCGCACGAGGAGTACGAACACTTGAAAGCGATAGTTGCAAGGTTAAAGAAAGACTTGACGGAACTGGAGTCGAAGTATGAGGTCACACAGAACGATTTGCATGAGACGAAGAACCTTCTGAATGTTAAGGAGAGTCAGGTCGTGAAACTTCAAAGGGAAGTCAATAAATTAAAGGTAAGCAATAAACATAACTATCGCTGTGCTTTCAATTCCGACTTAATCAATAGCTCCATAGCTACAATTTTTAACGAAATCCAAAGCAGAAATTAGAAGTTACAGGCAAAAAAACTCCACTGGTAAAGCAATATTTAGAAAATTTTATTTAACCAAATTTTAGGTAACCAATGCTCAGCTGTCATCAAATATAAATCTACAAAAAGCACTGTTTTGAATGTGAATACCATTTATCCGGAACCAGAAGATTTTCTCAAGTATAATCTAAAGTTTTTATTTTCTTTCTGGTTCTTAAGATCACCTACCGCGAAAATGACGTGTCTACTGTTTTAACATCCTCCGAGTCATCATTAATATGACAATTCTAAAGTTATTCATGAATTTGGAAGCTTTATGTTTTTTGATACAAAGCAGATAAATATGTTAACATTTTTAAAATGTATCCCAGTAAGTGTATCTAACGTTCTCCTTCCTTATTTTCTTTGCTGGATGTCTCAAAAAATATTGCGCTAATGCCTATAGTAAATAAAATATTAAAAATTACCTTAAGTTTCTTAATAATGGTCTGGGAAAATGCCTATTTCTACCTAAAAATCGCTTTTTTTTTATTTTGGGGAAAAGTATTATTAAGATAATAAGTAAAATTTAAACCACAAATACTTTTTATTGGATCACAAAAGTTTCTGCTGAAATTTGATAAATGACAATTTAGTTACGACTTCATTTTGACACAACCGGAACGGGTGTTTAATAAACGGGTAACGAAGAAGATTTATACGTTAAACATTTTATACGGTCATTATATGTTGGGTATATTTTGAAAAACAAAACGAACACACACTTACAAGAAGCGACGGATGGCGTTTCTATTACCAGAAATGACCAACGCCAAAATCCCCTTAATGTTAAAAAACTAGTCAAGATTTCAAACCCGTGACTAAAGTATAGGAAAAGCTAGAATATTGTTTAGTAAAGCTGAAATATTAAGTGACATTTTACGTACGAGTAATTAGTGACTAGATAAAATAATTTATAAATTCGTTCACGATTAATTACTAAAACCTGATATAGCTCCAAAACCAAGTTTATTGAGTTTAATCAAGTCACCTTTTATGGAAAATTGTTCACAAAATATCATATTTTCCGAAAAAATTAAAAAAAAAAACAATATATTGGAAACAGATTGCAATATTAAGTTATATGAGAACGATTCTCAAATTGTCATAATGGTGGGTTGTATCTAGGTAGTACCCATTGAAATAAAAACACAATTTTTTTCAAAGTCCCCTTTATAAGTAAAAATACACTACGTAGTTTCAAAAATGTTAAGGGCTACGCTCGATGGGCACAATGGTATTGCGTCACACGAAATGAATACCAGCGATGTATATGCCAGTAATTCAAAACAAATTCCGATCTATATTTTGTTATTATACAGGGTTGCTATTTTCCGCGTATCGCCTGTCACTGCTTGTGTGGATACGCATTGTGTATATCACTTGCAGTACGTATGATTAAATAGTAAACTGCCTATTTACCCGAATGGGACGGAAATTAAAAGCCCCGTATCGGATATGTCAGAGCAGGGTAGTCATACACACAAATGGCGAAGGACCATCTAATTCTATCGTCGCAAAATTAGGAAATATTTTCCAACAGTGGCGTTTTTGCCACACCACAAGGGAATGTTGGTTTCGAGTAATGGGAAATTCGTCCAATTTTGTAAACTATTTAAATATTCCAAAAACATAATACGTCTGACTTTTTCTGCTTTTAAAGAGAAAAATTAACGCTGTAATTAATTACCTCCTTGACTTATTTACGAACACATACAGTAAGAAGAAAAACAAATAAAATACTATTAAATAAATAAGGCGATAATTACCAACTTATATGTAAGTTTGTACCATCGATAAGTAATTTCTTACGAGTATTTCTAATATTATTTAGTGCAACTTGCGTGCTTTGCGTTTTCCATAAGCATTAATAGTATATTATGCAACAAGTGAGGTAAACGGTATTTGACTCACGAGTTTATTTGACACGAACGAAGCGAGTGTTCAATAAACGAGTCACTTAAAAAGTTTACGGAACGTGTTGCATACTATACTTATACACTGATATGACCGTCAGAATTGAGAAACGTCAAAATTCAAGGCGTGGAAAATATCTCCGAAAACATCCGAAACTGACGTGGTAAAGTGACGCTTCCCGCACGCTAGATCGGTGTGTAATTAGGTATTTTACAGATGGGAGTAGAAAAAGTATATATTGATTATAAAGTTTTCAATAAAGCAAAACGCATTTTAAGAACATTTTATAACAAAATTATGACTATATAAGTAACTGCTTTTCTTTAAAGTCAGAAAATTTACTGAACACGATTTCTCCGCATTTTACACAAAATGACGAACATATTTAGAATGTTTCCAACTTTATATATATTTTTTATATAACGATTGGACAAAACATCCAAAAGTTTTTCATGTTTTTCTTGAAATTAATTTATGTCTGTAATGTCTGATTTGGAATGAATTTCCCCCACTTTCTTTTTCTTATTTATGTAGCTATTGATATCATAAAACCTTTAAAAAATTTCCAATCATATACAAGGTGGTATCATGACACGGAAAGCATTCTTAATTAATATTGTATCAGTTAAGTCTATTTAAATTTGGAAGTAAATATCAAAGTTCAGGCTAAGCCTTACATGCTTAAAAGGTTTTCATGTTTTTCTTAAAATTCATTTACAAGGACATATCTCTTTGTGAATGAATGTTACTCAAATGTCCCTCTTAATATAAAATTCTAATCATATTCAAAGTGGCGACATTTTTTAGTCAATATTGTGGTATACATATCTTACTGAATTTCTCATGGTGCAAAATATTCACTATATTATCAGTTGTATCAACGACTATCAAACTAGACTGATTTGTTCAGAGCGTTCTTCATCAAACAGCGCCATGTCACCAAACGGGCGAAGATATCCTGACGAGCATTCAAGAACAACACGCGATGGCCAACCGTATACCCATCCAGGGCCATTCGCCTACCAACCCCACCAACCACTTAAAGAAGCAAGGCGTTTCAGCAGAATCCAGCGAAACAGTTGTCCAAGCTAGCGATATCAGGATTGCCAAATTCGAGAAAGATTTCCGGTAAAAACTACACCTATCATCTGAATTACAATCTCAGAGTTTGGCGAAACTTTATTGTTACAGCTCAAAGCAACTCATCAAAGATGCGATCATGGACAACGCTTTCCTCAAGAACCTAGACACGTCTCAGATTCGCGAAATTGTGGATGCCATGGAACCAAAAGAATTTCGTTCTGGTTCGTATGTGCTGAGACAGGGAAACGCTGGGATACATCTTTTCGTCTCTGCGGAAGGAGAGTTCGAAGTTATACAGGATAGCAAAATTCTCGGACATATGGGCCCGGGAAAAGCATTTGGGGAATTAGCCATCTTGTACAACTGTACCAGGACAGCTTCCATTAGAGGTACAATTTACATAATGAATGATTTTTCTAAACTAAATTGATTCTAGAAGTTATAACGTTATTATAATTATTATTCATTTGTTATTTATTATTTCAAAAAGTATACTAGTTTCTTTGAGGGTGAATATTTCAACATATAGCGTTATTTCAGCCATAACTGACTCGAAAGTGTGGATGCTCGATCGAAAAGTGTTCCAACAGATCATGAAGCGAACAGGGCTGCAAAGACTGCAAGACAATATCAACTTCCTCAAATCCGTGCCGTTGCTCGAGAATCTCAACAGCGACGTTTTGGCCAAAATCGCTGACGTCCTCGAAGTGGTACGCACATTTTGTAGCGTTCTTATTTATTTTAATTGTTAATAGTATTGATTTCCCTTTTACAGGAATTTTATCCTGCTGGCGCATACATAATAAGACAAGGTGCCAGCGGGGATACGTTTTTTATCATCAGCAGTGGAAGTGTCAAAGTTACTCAACGATTGCCAGGTACATATGTTGTTCAAAACCCGGCAAAACTTCTTGTTGATGAAAGATTAAAACTGCTATATACTCCGTATAATACTTTAAAATCGCATTCCATGTGAATGTTTATATAAATATTAACGCCACAGTTTAGCGTATTCTCGATTATCAAAATGTAATCTGCATATGAAAAAGAACATGAGAATTTTTCTGCTTGTAAATCTGCTAAATGGTTTATCAGGTACCATCGTTTGTTTTAGGTTTACCCAAGTTATTATTCAGATACGAGCCAATCATTTAATCTCGGCTTTGTTGTAAATATTTGTGCTTCTGTATTTAGCTGGGAACTCTAGATATTCCGCGTTTGGAGTATTTAATTTTAAAATGCAATATCAAATATACAGACACAAAGAGGCTTCAGAAAAATAAATGGGAGGTATTGAAATAAAAACACAAACTTACTAAAATAGCCCAAACACGATAGCAAATGTGTCGTCTTTAGGGCAGAAAAGGTTTACAGAATTATTATTATACAATCAAAAATATTACAAACATATCCATAAACAAATATAAAACCTTCATATACCTACCGAAATTAGGTTCATAGTGCAGATGCGCGAAGAGTGATCAAACTAAAATTTGTCAAAAAAAAAATCAACCACCGGGAACTCTGCAAATTATGCATTCGTATTTGTTTTAAAAATAATATAACCCTAAATAATATAAATTAAATTCACTACCTTTGTTTTAAAAAGTAAAATAATGCCCATTACACAAATTCATTAATAAGGACTTTAAAAAAGGTTATATGACAGCTTAACTCACACTGACATCCCGCATACAAACTATACCGTATTACTGATGATATGATCACCAGGACATTTGGAAGAAGAAGAAATAAGGATCCTTCAAAGGGGCGACTATTTTGGCGAACAGGCCCTTCTCAAAGAGGACTGCAGGACGGCCTCTATCATAGCGCTGTCGCCTGGAGTGGAATGTCTCACCTTAGACAGGGACTCGTTCAATCACCTCCTAGGCAGTTTGAGCGAAATTAAAGAGAAAGATTACGGCGACAATCAGCGCATAAACAGGCCAATGGCTTCCGAACAACAAGGTAATAAAAATAATCTCGAGGCTTAGCGTATGAGCCGAGATTTTTTATTTTTTAGAATACGATTACATTGAACTGGACGACCTGGATGTCGTGGCGACCTTGGGTATTGGTGGTTTCGGAAGAGTTGAATTGGTGCAGTACGTTAGAGACCCTACGTTAACTTTCGCACTCAAGTGCCTGAAGAAACAGCACATAGTCGATACTCAGCAGCAGGAACATATCTACAGCGAGAGGAACATCATGCTGTCGTGCAGAAGTCAATTTATCTGCAGGTTATTCTGATATTAGAAGCCATTCCTAGAAATCACAAATTAAGCTTTTCCTTCCTATATCTTTTATGATTTTCCATGTATTTTCATTAAATGTGCTATTTTCTATTGTTTCATATGACAAGACAATAATGTAAATAAGAACTACAAGTTCAAAATTTTGAACTTTTATTTCTTATTTATTTTGATAAATGGATTTTCATCAAGTAAAAGTCACCTCAGTTCAATAGATAATAATTTATGTGAAAAATGGCCTTACATAAATATCTAATTGGGGGTACCGAGTGTCCGATAACCAAAGTACAAACCAAACCAAATACGGGAAGTTGTAATTTCGGAAGTTGTAATATGACGACATAACGGCATGAAATTTGAAATATGGAGTTTTTTACGGGGAGAAATTCAATTCCGTTAGCTTAGGTCGGATATCACACGCAGAGGCCGCCATTTACGGTAGATTAAACATCTTTAAAGTGACCTAGACTAGTGTACAGCACTTCTAAAGCAAAGTTATTAAAGCATATCAGTAACCGGGAAAATTAAGATCTATCTTAACAACAAACGTTAAATTTGTGAATTTGAAAAGATGTGCGACATTTACAAGGTATATTTTTTGGGCATAGTAAGTGAGCAATTACATGGTAATGCACTGCCAAACAGTGATGTAATGTACCACACTAGAAAGAACATTGTGCAAGGGAAATAAAGACGAAAGGGATTTGTAGTAAAACAAAATAACAGCAAAATAACATCTAAGTTAGTTTGGGATTGTGATAAGACACTTAACGAATAGCAAACTGGAATAAAGTGTGGAGCAGGCTACGAGGGCCGCCACAATAACGAAGATGCCGGATAAGCCCGCGAAGACTTGTCAAGATACACCGTGAACCAAATAAAATGATCCACTATACGATATGGAAACCCATAGGACATACAAAAGAAAGTTTCATGGAATCTCCTGAAGATTTAAAATATAATCATTTTGTTGCTGCAGGGTGTCCCGAAAGTGTCTCCTCCTACATCAACTTTGTTATTTTAAATGGAATACCCTGTATATATCTACATTTTTGGAATCCTTGGTTAAAATAAAGGTCACTTTATTAAGAAATTACTATTCGAATTTTGCATAGTTTAGGCAGAAATTGAGGTTATGTGTTTTTTTTTTTCATATTTGGCTTGCCCCACATAAAATTGTTTTGTGACGCTACTGATCCAGGTATCGCAACGAAACTGTAACCACAGACTAAGATGATGCACTACTCTATTAGTTTGACAAGGTGTCCTAAATAGCCCTTTTGGCGAATTCAATTAACAAAATATCAAGATTTTCAAATGGAACACCCCATATTTTTATTAAGACGTCAATTCTAGGATAAAAAATGAGGCAAGTTTGTAATTTATCTAATATTTAAGTTTTCCTTACTTTTTAAGATATTCAAGGTTTAAGATAAGACCCGTATAAATTCACTTGTTGGCAATATTAGCTATTTTTTAAATAGCAACGACATGATACTGGTTAATTATCTAGCCTGATTGAAAATACCAAATAACAAAAATAATTAAAGTTTACGGGCTAACTAACCAAGGTAACAATAAATAATATGAATAAAAATGAATAATATGCATAAATAAACAACAAAAAAACAAAGTTAACAAAAAAAAGCGTTCTTTAATTCGTTCCTTAAAGTTTAGTTAAAAATGTTCCTCTTAAAATGCTCGTTTCATCTGGCATCAAAACAATAAAAAAATATCAAAATATTTAGAAATGTTGGATATGACAATCTTTTTTATTTTATTTTTGTTTGACGCATTAAGGAATAAACAAACTTTGACATTTCTGATTGTATCTGTTGTTTTTTACCATTCTATTTAAAAAGTTCATAGTTGTCAAGTTTTTTCTTGGTATATATTGTATTTGCATTTTAAATAAGTTAAAGCTTTTTGGTTAGTTATAAACTTTAATTATTGATTTTCGTTATTTCAATAAAGTTAGATAATTAACTAATAAATATTTCTTTAAATATAAATTCTGAAGTTTTATTAAATCTGTTAAAGTGCATAGTATAGATTCGATTTTTCTTAAAATCTCCACGTATTAATGGACACCCTGTATTGTTAGCAATAGGTTTTATTTGAGTATTATATCTTTAAAAGAAGTAACAAATACCTAATATCGCCAACAAGTGACCTAATGTGGGCAGCTTTAGATTCAACAACAATTTATATTGGTGTTATCTTAAACCTCGAACATCTCAAAAAGTAAGTAAAATTTAAATTATTTATAAATTACAAACTTACCTTGTTTTTTGTACTAGAATTGATATCTGAATAAACATATAAGGTGTTTCATTTGAAAATTTTGAGATTTTGTTAATTAAATTCGACAAAACGACACCACCTATTTCGGACATCCTGTTTAAGCTGAAGCGGATCTATCCAACTGATTGAGTAGTGCATCATCTCCTTAGTCTGTGGTGAAATTTTAGTTGCAATACCTCGACCCGTAGCGTCACAACACAATTTTATATGGTGCAATGAAAAATCCGGGCAATAGAAGACAAAAACAGGACAATTCAAATCCCTCGGAAGGCTATCTTCCCTATTTTCAACTGATTTGGTACGCTATAAAAGGAAGGTCGAACATACCCAAACGCACCCGAACAAACCCGAATACACGTTAAGGATAATTGTATGTCTATTGACATGCGACGACGGCTAAAGAGATATCTAAGCCTAATGGGAGTGAGACAGCACCAAATGCAGATTATGCCGAAAAGAGCCCCACACACTTGTCATGTCTATCGAGAGTGCGTTTTCATCTGCTGTGCGTAACCAAAGCAGAGCCACTAACGAAGCCATGGTGTCTTATCAGAGAAACGAATCTACTTAAAGCTCTGTAATTATGAAGAAAGTCACAATAGATTATTTGGGTAGCAATAAGTCTAAATACTGTCTATGTAAATCTGAATTTGACGCCCTCTGCATCTGGTGTAGGAATTTCTCGCCTTAAAGTACCCCTAAATTTCCTAAACGAAATGAAAGCATGTATGTATGTGATATGCAGTTTTCAATTAGCGGACACCCACGGACATATTCTCAATTCAAATGAATTCTGGATAGGCCATCGTGTAGAAACGACTACTAAACTAAAAACAGGAATATGTAGATCCTATAATATGTATTGCAGATTATACAGAACGTACAAAGACGCGAAGTACGTGTACATGCTGTTGGAAGCGTGCCTCGGTGGCGAAGTCTGGACGATACTGAGAGACAGGGGTTGTTTCGATGACCACACTTGCCGGTTTATAGTGGCTTGCGTGACGGAAGCGTTCGAATATCTTCACAATCGCGGTATCATTTATCGGGACCTGAAACCGGAGAATCTGCTGCTGGACTGCCAAGGTTACGTGAAACTCGTGGATTTCGGATTTTCGAAACGTTTGGGGTATAGCAGCAAAACGTGGACGTTTTGCGGCACCCCGGAGTATGTCGCCCCCGAAACCATTTTGAACAAGGGCCACGACAGGGCGGTGGATTACTGGGCCCTCGGAATTCTCATGCACGAATTGCTGACCGGCAAGTAAGCATAGCGTGGTTCAAAAATTTTCTTTTAATTCTTTATTAAATCAATTTTCATCATAATAGCAAAACTAAAACCTAGTCAGTAGTGGATCCGAATACCCAAATTATCCAATTAAACAAAAAATTGTAAATATCACATTAATTACAACAAATTGCCACCAGAGCTTTTACAATTGCAATGACCTTGCTTCTATTAAATAAAGGACAGGTAATAAAACAACGTTATTAAATATTTTCTTTATTAAACTACATATCAAGTATGATACGACGCATCTTTTAAAACACTAATCTAAAAAAAAAACAAAAACGAGGAATCTAAACAAATAGCTTTTTTTTTTAAGTTAAATAGAAAAAATTCCTGTATGTAAAATGAGATATGGAAAATCCGCATTCTATCTCAATAGCACCAAGAGTAGGATAGTCGGAGACAGTCGTTTGAATGCAGATTGAACAGGCAAAACGAAATTATCAATTAATAAGGTTTTATTTATTTTTACATAAAAAAGTCACTAAATAGGTATTATATTGTTATTTTTTTATAAGGATTCTTTCAGAACTCTCCAGTTTGTGTTTCTTTTAAATGACCTTTACTATTTTAAGTGATAACATCTTCTAGCCAATTAAGAGGTCCATAAAAAATATACTAATTATTAACTTGACTCACGTCAAAGAGATGCATCGTTATTAATTTTCTTATGGACTTTTCCATTATAGAATCCTCATATTATAATACGACATATTCTTTTATTTCTACAGAATTTAAGTTTCTCATATTTCCCGACGTAACTGCAAAATGAAACGAGTTTTGAACCACCTATTGACCCAAAATTTTACCGAGTTATCTGCAAAATTTTCTAAAATTGCCGAATATTACCTCTATAATTCCACTAATGACAGCTCATGCTCCATTTCCACTAATTAGTAGTAAAAAAGCGTTCATTTCCCATAAAATTTCCACTTATTACAACGACTGCGTACACTAAATTACAACAATGAAATCCCTCTCGACTAACAGTGTTAAAAATAATTGAACTAATTTATACATTGATTAGGTTTTGTTTTAATTTTTTAACAAATAAATTATAATTTTCTTCGCTCTTTATACGCTTAGCTCATTTAATAATTATAATATAAATATAATATAAACCTATATTTTGTTCTTTGCATTTACCCTTAACTGTTAATTTAAAGCCTTTTTGACTAGATGTACATTTCTAAATTTTTTAAAGTGGCGTATTTGATTCTTTGTCTGTTTCTCTGATCTGATAGGCTTAAATTTGGCATACGAAAAGTTGCTCGTGCAATATTATTAAGCTCATGACCAAAATCTAATAACAAATGATATAAGTCATCCTAATAACATGGATCCTTGATATTGAATAAAAAGGCTTGAAAAGGTGAAATTCTTATTTTCCAAAGATAGTTGCTTAAGACGTTGAGACACTTTGTATAACACCATCAGCCAAAAATGTTTTGTCTTGGACCACAACTTACTCTTCCAACTTTACCATCAGCATCCTTCTCAAAATTAACCCCACAAAGATATCGTTTAAATTGTTGCAAGTACAATTCCATCGGCATTCCAAAAAACTGACCATTTTCTTCCCGATGGATGGTGTTGCAACAACCTCTGCCTGACTCTGCCTGTAGCAAATATTTTGAATTAGCAGCAACATTCTCGGTACCATTTCGCCACCTAATCCTTGGTGTGGTTTATTGCAATACTTTTTAAGTGATTATTAAGTGCATTCTTGACTAGCTTCACTACGTAATAACTCTAAAGACTTATATAGTTAGTTCTGTTAAATTGGCATTCCAAGTGACAGTTTTAAACATTTTAGTCCACCTTTTACTGCGTCCGACCCGATGAAAACGTACAATCTGATCCTGAAAGGAATCGATATGATAGACTTCGCCAAGCATAATGTCGGCAGGTCAGCGCAGAGTCTGATAAAAAAATTATGTAGAGATCTGCCATCGGAAAGGTTGGGCTATCAAAAGGGAGGTATTATGGACATAAGGAAACACAAGTAAGTAAACGACGCATAATACATAATAACTATTAAATGTGGTAAATAAGTTCTACCTTTGGTAATAAAATATTTTCAACCTTTTGTTTCTGACAAGAGTATTGGGAGTAGGTATTCCTGCAGAGGTGCGGGACATCCTAAGTTTTTGCTCTCTTTGTGTTGTAGATGGTTCCAGGGATTTGACTGGGACGGCCTGATTGCCCGAACTCTACCGTCGCCAGTTTATCAACCAGTAAGGGGTCCGGCGGATACCACCAACTTTGACTGCTTCGCCAAGGACAACGACATTCCTCCCGACGAACTATCAAATTGGGACCAAGATTTCTGACGTCACGAGAGGACAAACTTCCCCATCCTTTAAGACTAGCGCATTTTTGTAACTAGGAAATGCGGATCGAGTATTATTTAAGTATACTACCCGTGTTGTATATGGAAGTCGTTAAACCATAAAGCAATAAAGTTAAAAATTAATTGATTAATTTAAAGTGTATTTTTGATAGACGTTTATGCGTAATGCTAGTTTATCTTAACCAACCAAATAAAGTTTATAGTAAACTTTGAATTTTATTTTCTCTTGGGTCGCTCGGAGGGGTAAAAAAAATAAGTCAAAATGCAATGTTGTCAAAACCCAACAACCAACACCCAAATAACCTGACTAATATCGCATATATCTACACTCTAGAAACCATTGAACTTAGTTGCACATATTTGGAAAGTTTGACTTTTTTCAACTCATTTCAATGAATGTATAGAGCAATAGAGCTATCTAGTCTATTTAGAAAATGACAGCAAATGTCAAAGCAAATAAGGATTTTTGCTGCGAAATATACCAAAAATTCCCATTTTAATCTTGTCACACCGCGTCACTCCTGTCATGTTACTTTTAATTAGTTATTTTCGAATACGATGTTGTGGTTTTGGTGCACGTTTAATATCAAAATTATGCAGGTAAGTGAGTTCGTGCGAAATGTGGATTTTGAAATGCCAAAACATAACTGAATAACGACGCCAATGACCTCCAAATGCCATTAAATCTTTTATTACAAATTGCAGCGAAAACTTTATTAGGTACAATATCATCGTTAAAGTGGAATATCGATTTGAATTCGGCCATTGTTTGTTTTTGCGATGCCGTATTATGATTAATGACAACGCACAACGTTTATTAGGCCTCTAAGAGCATTTCAGACCCTGAATTTATTGCCCGTTTTGCAGCTATAGGGACTATAGGAATTCGATATCGATCTGCGTTTTGAAAGAAACACTTTAGCCGCACAAAATCCAATAGCCGTTCGAAATCGTTGTCGGGCTCACTTTCGTTGAATCTGCTGCTCGTTGTATCACATTTCCAGTTGCAGCGCGCTTCCATTTCCAGTGTCTTTGTCTAGTTGGAAGAAATGCTAAGATATTTAAAAACTTTCACGACTAACCTAATAGTTAATAGAGACAGACAGTTGTGCTATACGATGGACTTGTGCAGCCATGCACATCTGCCGAATGAATCGCTGCGTGAGCGTTTTAATTGTTTTATATTATTTTAATGAAAACGGAAAATTTTCCGCAATGGCTCCCGAGTTCTTATTTTTGCCTATTCACTACAGGGCTTTCGCGGCCTTAGATATATAACTCGGATAACCAGGTAAAACTAGTGCATCTGCAGCATTTAGCATCTGCATTTATTTAGAAAATAGAAGATGCGGTTTCTAAAATTCGTTCTGTGATAAATATTTGCACCAGAAATTAGAGTATCTGCCTTCGGATAAGTAGATTATGTAGAAAAATATCACCTTGTATTCTTTATTCTAAGATAATAGCAAATCTGTAGTTCTTGTAGGAACCGATTTGAAAAAAAAAGCAAAATATTTCAAAATAAAACTAAACAGAATCAACTTTAATTTAATAATAAGAATATAGATAATAATAATAATAATAATGAAATTAATTAGTCTGATTTCCTCAGAATTTTAATATTTTCTTTGGAAGGCTCTAGCAAATTTAAAGCTTCGGAACTAAATCTGTTTTTATTTAAAGTTTTGATTTTGCGTAAATTTCGACAAGACGAAAGTAACAAATTATGAAATACATCCCTGTTCCCTATATCTTCGATACTCTTTATTAAGAGCCTGTTGGACTTCTTCGGAAAGTTGTCCGGCATTTTCTACCAAGGAGACAGGGAAACAAGTAATCGAGCAGTTTCTGGCAAATAGATTTTAAAATCATCATGTCTAAAACTAGCCAAAACTTGTAAAATAAGATGAAAACTTAACAAACTTTTTGGGTAATCCTAGCCCATCGCGTGCCGTTGAGCCGATCCTCTTATGTTGAGAAACAACAAAACCATCCTGTTTAGTGAATATTTGCAACAGTTTGGCAAAAATAAACGAAAATGACGTCATTAAAAATGGACCAAGATATATACTGTGAAGTATACTAAGTAAGGTCAATAACAACATACCATTTACAAAATTGAAATTGGTGAAAGGGAGTTTGAAGTTATTATTTTATTTTGGAATTCGCCTGTATCATGTGTTGTCGATCTAAAAACAATTGTCCCTGTGCCAACGTGGTACATTTTGCTCGCGTGGCGTTATTGAAAATATGTGAAAACAATACACTGGGTGATCCATCCGCATAGACAAAACTTCGAGTCAAGAAACTCCCCGATAACCCTACGATGATACGCCAGCCCGATACATCGTTTTTCCAATCAATCGTTAAGAAAAATGCTTCAAACGGCCCATGCTATCATTAACTTGAACGCAAATGTAAATAAAAACGGCGACGGCGTTGAAGAACCATAGCAACAGCACTATACACACCTGTTCTACTTTTCGTTTCAGTGGTGACGGCAGAGCGACGCCGTCCGAGACGCAAACGCGATTCAGACGGACGTGGACATCGACGACGTCCCTCACGTTCAGTGCGACGCGTCACGACGCCACGAAGCCGACGGCGACGACGACGACGACGACGTCGGCGACGGAAGGTGAACTCACATAACCTTAAAGATACAACCACGTCCGACGATGACACAGTAAATAAATTGCTTGTATTTTTGTTTGATGCACCATATTCCATAGAACGGTAAGCCGCTAAGAGCACCAAAACTTAAACTGTACATATAGGACAATGATTTTGGCTTTGTACTTCTATTTAGTAAGTGAAGTGAATTAGAATAGCGCTAAAAGTTTTTACTTTGTGCGCTTTGAGGTATAATTGACCCTATTAGTGTGTATTCTTATACTAGTACTTCCAATCCTTGGGAAATAGATAAAAACATTCAATATAACGTTCCATAAAAAATAGGCGATTTTAATTGACTGAAACATTTTTATGGCCACCAGTTGCCAGATAATATATCACCATTACCGCTTTACTGTAAATAAATTGCTTTTTGCATAGTCGTTCACAAAATCGAGAAAAATTGAACTCAAAATTATGAGCAAAGCGAAAAGCGAGCAAAATAAATGATGCCTTCAGAAGCGAGCGTATAATTGGTTGTATACCAATGTAAATGGATGCGCGAGAAAAATATTGAATGTTTGTTACATTGAAACTCTTGCCAAAGGTTTTTGAAATTTTACTTTCAAACGCATATCAAGCCCAGATACCAGGTATTATAGAGGATTCACGCAAGGCATCATGAACATTAACACTAATTTGAAAATAAAAAGTTAAATTTTTCTTTAGTGAATCCAGCTGGACATGTAACACTTAGTTTTTAACATTAAAACAACTTGTAGTTTTTCATTAATATCTTTCTTGTATTCAAATATACGCATGTGCGACACAAATATCATTTTGACCTATTCTTTTAAATTCGTTAAATAATTTTTAGATTATTTGATTAAATGTGAATTTTTAATTAATTCACTAAATGACCACGGTCACGTTTTTTAAATTCTTATTGCTTACGTGAATCCACAAATTTTTTACCTTAACAATAACTTTACAAACGCCTTTCAGGGGGCCTAAAATAGTCTCTCGCATATCCAACTTGAAATCAAAATGTTCGAGAAAATCAAGCGTTTCCTTTACATGGATATCGATTCGAAAATTAAGGAGAGGTTCTTTTGCCGAGCTCAAGGTTATTAGTATTTCACAGAAAAATCAACACCCGACCGCGCGGTCACGCGATGGCGCATTTTCGTTGTATTCCACGAAATTTTACTTTATTTTTCAACTCCGCCATTAACCTTCGCTTCGCATGTCAATGACCTTATAATAGGTCTTCATTATTTCTCTTCGTTGCAATGAAAAAATTACATCAAACTTGTTTTAGGTTCGATTTTAGTAGTTAATCAAATTTACCAAAACTTGACCATAATCGCAGGCTTTGCCTAAAGGCTAAATAAACCGAGGATACAAATTTTAAGATTTTAATTCGTTATTAATTGTCACATCATCGATTATCGATTTCAAAATTAGGTGAAACTTTACTTCATAACATTATTCTATACGTGTTTCAGATTTCAGTTGATGCCTGCTATTGGCTTGGCAGAAGATTGCTTTTTTAGATTTGCAAATACTATTCGACATTAGGTGGCCCGCAAGAATTAAAAAAAAAAGTGGCTTTGATTCACTTATACTTTGAAAATGTTGTATTGTTATATGTAATATAATTAATAAAGTAAAGTCTGTTCATAGATATAAGAAAGTGAGTAACTGATACGAATTAAAGAAATACCCGGGTAAGCTGTAGGAATGAAATATGTCCGAACAGGTCCGTACTTTGCTTAGAATTTAATTAATTAATTTTTGTAAGGAAAGGTACTAACCAATATTTATTTATTTATGTATGTATTTATGTTTAAATCTAAAATAAAATTACAAACTATTTTTATTACTTACTTAAATTACTTAAAATTGTTCACATAATATATCAGTATCAGTATGGCTATCATCGCCTGTTCTAATTATTATTTGTTCTATATTATTTGCAATATGGATACCATTGTTCTGCTTTTTCTATATGTTTAACAGAATTTGCCCAACTTTGTGGAGGGATGTTAAGAACATCGGTGTCTATAAGTTTGAGGACATTGGAGTTAACACAGGGAAAAATATTGTTACGACGAATGGCAGATTTCAGTTGATGCCAAACATGTTCAATGGGATTAAATATACAGTGGTAAGGTGGAAACCTTAAAACTCTATGCCCTAGATTTTTTTGCATAATTATTGTAGGTTCAAGCTTTGTAGAACCTCGTTTAATTGCTTTTTGGTATAATCTTCGTGAATATAAATGTGGTTATTATACATGTAGTTTTGGATTGTTGCTTTTGTGTCACATGAGGAAGTGGTTTTAGTCAACTGTCTACTGTGATAACTTGCAATGTCCATTACGATAGCGCTATTAGGAGGAATGTTTGGAACTACTTTGTTTTTAAACCAACTTTCAAATAAATCAGCGGTGGTGTCTTCATGGTAATTCAGAGGAGAATCTTTAATATTTTTTGCAGACAGAGGAAGTCCATTTGGAATCCAACCATCTTTAGAGCCAGCATGCAAAATGGTTATTTTTTTAACTCTTTTGATGGCGCGTTTGTTTTACACTTATCAGTTAAGTCAACCCGACCCCTTTTCGGGCTATCGTAAGTGTCGAACCAGGTTTCATCCAAGTAAATAACTGGCCTTTGTTGTTCTCTGTAAATCCTAAATTTTTCAAGATATTCCAGTCGCCATTTCCGAATTCTAAAAGATTCCATTA